TTGATAGCATGATAGCCCTCGCTTTGTCTTTTCAGGAAAGGGCGCAGTTTAGAATATTTGGTTATATCCACTGCTTTCTTTATATTGAAGGTTGACCTTAACATTGCATATTGTGCCCAAAGACCTAATGGTCTCATTTTAGTCGATAAATTCGAAAAATATTCCATACGAACATCATCTGTACATATAAGATTGACAACTTTTTTCTTATCACCAATCCATGAAACATCTATAGGCAAATTCATAAATATCACGAGATTTTGGTGGAAGCAAATTCAAAGAAATTTCTTTTGCACAGTTTAATATATCTGCAGGTATATCTAATTCTTCATTTGAACTCATTTTTATAAAAATTTCGAAAACTCAACACTAATATGGAATATGGCGGAGAATGTTTGACAAATATTTGCAAGTAGATATCCATAACTACATCTGTTCTGGCTACTTGTTTTATTATTCAATTTAATTCTAACCGAGAGCTTATTCTTGAAAACATCTCGATTTTAAAAATTTTTGCTTTTCTGTTTTTATTTTTTTCAATTTTTCCATTTCTTCATTTATTGAGATTTCAATATTTTGATTTATTGATTATTCAATTTCTCGTTTTTTCAATTTTGTTATTTTAAATTTTTTAATTTTAAACTTCGATTTTTCAATTTTGCCTTTTTTGATTTTTTAGCATCTCAACTTTCGATGTCTCCATCTTAAAATGTTTCGATATTTTTTCGATTTCTTTGTTTTTCGACCTTTGTATTTTCCAAATTTTCGTTATTTCTATTTTTCCATTTTTTACTTTTTTTCAATTTGATTTTTCAATTTTTTATGTTTCGATTTTCCTTATTTTTCAGTTTTTTGATGTTTGGACTTTTCGATCTTTAGATTTTTCAACTTCTCGGTTTTAGGTTTTTTGGTTTTTCAATTTTTCGATTTTTGAATTTTACTATTCTCGATTAATCGAGATTTCGATTTTTTGATTGTTCATTTTTCTCGATTCTTCAGTCTATATATTTTTTTAATTTTCAATTTTCAACTTCCATATTTCAATTTTTCGAATTTTCAAGTTTAAATTTTTTAGTTTTTTGATGTTTCGATTTCTTCGATCGTTCGATTTTGAGACTTCTTGTCTTGGTTTTAGATTTTTTCGTTTTTCCATTTTTCGAATTTTGAATTTTTCTATTCTCGATTAATCGAGATTTCGATTTTTCATTATTCAATTTTTCTCGATTTTTCGGTCTATTTTTTTTAATTTTAAATTTTAAACTTCCATATTTCGATTTTTCAATTGTTTGACTTCTCGGTTTCTTTAGTTTTTCAATTGTTCAATTTTTGGATTTTTCGGCTTATCTTTTTTTAATTTTCAATTTTTCAATTTTATGAATTTAAAATATTTTTATTTACCAATTTTTTGATGTTTAGATTTCTCGATTTTTCGATTTTTAAAATATTTCGACTTTCCGATTTTTAGATTTCTCTATCTGTCAGCATTTCAATTTTGGGGACTTTCGAATTTTTGGATTTTTCAATTTAAATTTTTTTTTTGATTTCTAAGTTTTTCGATTTTTGTTTAAATATATTTCCCATTGCTACTGCACTTCAGAGACGAGGGAAGTTCCGTGGAAATAACGTTCAACTAATTTTTTGTTTCAAGTGTAAATTATCATGACATAATTTGAAAGTAACTGTCAAACCAGTCAAGGAACGCTTTGGTGTTGCCAACATTATCATTTTAGAAATAAATTTCATGACCTACTAAGTTTTCAAAAAAACCAAAACTAATTCTCCACGATTGCCATAAGTTAAAAATGCCCATTCACACTTCCACATTTGCTTGCCCCCAGGACACAATCGTGAAACTCCAAGAAGAATCTCGGCTCAACCCAGAACCCATCGGGCTCGATCTGACCTCCGGACAACCCATCAACCCGAAAGACGCAGGCATTCTCGACAACTACGTCGTCAAAAAGCAAATAATCAACTCGTGCTCCGTGATTGCCAGCAACCTGCTGCTAGTTGACGAAATCATGAGAGCCGGAATGAGCAGCTTGAAGGGTTAATCAACTCTCGATTTTTCCATAACACTATGCAACAAATTAAAAAAAAATAAATTTCACAGAATGCACAGTATGTAGTTAAAATTTCTTACCTCAAACTCAATTGAGGATTATACTTGAAAGAATCGTATCACATCAGGTTTCAAAATGAAAAGCGTTTATTGAATTTTTTGAAATCATACAAAATTAATAAAACAAAACTTTATTTTTCATTGAAAAAGGTCTTTTTTTTCGAACGATTGACATTCCTATTGTAGCCAGATCTCGCAGTATCACTCTGAAGACACCAACAGAAGTCTGCAAGCATGGGTGGATACATAAAAGCAATATTTTTACGATTAAATGCAATCAAGTGTCCCAAAAAGTAAGAAAAACAAAACACCCGTTATCTATGTTTTGTGATGTGATATGGGTATAAAACATTTTTTCTTTAGTATATGGAGTATAGGTACCTAACCTATCACATCAGGTTTCAAAATGAAAAGTGTTTATTGAATTTTTTCAAATCATACAAAATTAATAAAACAATACTTCATTTTACATTGAGAAAGGTATTTTTATTCGAACGACTGGCATTTCTATTGTAGCCAGATCTCGCAGTATCCCTCTGAAGATACCAACAGAAGTCTGCAAGCATGGGTGGATACATAAAAGCGATATTTTTACGATTAAATGCAATAAAGTGTCCCAAAAAGTACGAAAAACAAAACACCCGTTATCTATGTTTTGTGATGTGATATGAGGATAAAACATTTTTTTCTTTAGTATATGGAGTATAGCTACCCAACCTATCACATCAGGTTTCAAAATGAAAAGTGTTTATTGAATTTTTTGAAATCATACAAAATTAATAAAACAATACTTCATTTTTCATTGAAAAAGGTCTTTTTTTCCGAACGATTGGCATTCCTATTGCAGCGAGATCTCGCAGTATCCCTCTGAAGACACCAACAGAAGTCTGCAAACATGGGTGGATACATAAAAGCGATATTTTTACGATTAAATGCAATCAAGTGTCCCATAAAGCAAGAAAAACAAAACACCCGTTATCTATGTTTTGTGATGTGATATGACTACAAAACATTTTTTTCTTTAGTGTATGGAGTATACCCAACCTCAAACACTATCTGAACTTTCTGTGAATTTTTTAGTGTTGCATAGTGATAATTAATCAGCTTGGTATTAACATAAAGTGTTCACTTAAGTAATTAACTTTTGTATTTATTCTGCAATGCAATTGACTTTAATAAACAAAATAAACGCAAACTTAACTAACACACGAAACTATTATTTATTATTCGTTTGAAACGTGTTTGAACTGTTTTTGGGGATATTTCGTCCAGTTGTTGGCACCGCGCCCAACTGTCACTAGAAAGAGACAGCTCGACCGAAATTGAGGTCAGTCGGAGCAGGATAACGACTTTTGTTTGTTGTTCGAAGGTGATTGGTCGGTTCAAATTCGTCAAACTTCTTTCTCCATGTTTTTAGTAGAAGCCGTTATTTGTTCAAAACTCGTAAATTATTAATTTAATTTACTCAAATCGCAAGTAAGTGGGTAGTTAGAGGTGTGTAAGGCGCGATTCGTGCGACCGATTAACTAAAAACGCGCTTTTCGGTTGATTGGAAAAGGGGTTAAGTTTGACCCTTGTAGGGTCTTTTTTCGTGTTTCTTTCAGATAAACAACAATGTCGAAGCAATCGAGCAACATGGACGATTTTCTCAAAATCGAAAAAATCGGCGAAGGTACTTACGGCGTGGTTTATAAGGGTAAAAATAAAAAGACTGGCCAACTCGTTGCAATGAAAAAAATCAGGTACAACGGACGCTTTCGGTGAAAGATTTTACAAGTGTGTTGATTTTGTAGACTGGAGGCTGAGGAGGAAGGGGTTCCAGCGACGGCAATCCGCGAAATTTCGCTTTTAAAGGAGCTGCGCCACCCGAATGTGGTCTCGCTTGAGGACGTCATGATGGAGGAAAAAAGGTTGGTGGTTGTGCACGGGCTCCCCGATGTTGACTTGTCTTTTCCAGCCTTTATTTAATCTTCGAATTTCTCTCAATGGACTTGAAAAACTACCTCGACAATATAAATCCAGGCAAGTACATGGAGCCTGAGCTAGTCAAAAGCTATCTTTTCCAAATAAACGAAGCGATTTTGTTCTGCCACCAAAGACGCGTGCTACATCGGGACTTGAAGCCCCAGAATTTGCTCATAACGCGCGACGGTACCATCAAGGTGGCCGATTTCGGGCTGGGGCGGGCGTTCGGGATCCCCGTGAGGGTGTACACCCATGAAGTGGTCACGTTGTGGTACCGAGCACCGGAGGTGCTCCTGGGCTCCGAGAAGTACTCTTGCCCCATTGATATTTGGTCGCTGGGGTGCATTTTCGCCGAAATGGCCACCAAACGCCCGTTGTTCCAAGGGGATTCGGAGATAGACCAATTGTTTAAGATATTCAGGTGAGTGTGGCCGGTTCGCGGGGTACCTAACCCAAATTTAGAGTTTTGAGAACCCCGACTGATGATTTGTGGCCCAACGTGTCCAGTCTGCCCGACTACAAAGCCACTTTTCCGCGCTGGACTTCGTACAATTTGGAAACACAAGTGAAAAATATGAACAAAGATGCCGTGGATTTGTTGAAACAAATGGTGGTGTATGACCCGGCTAAGAGGATCTCGGCTAAGAGAATCGCCCTTCATGCGTATTTCCGGAACGTGGACCGGTCAGTGAAGCCCATTTTCGATTTTAAATGACTAGGTTAGGTATTTATTCTCACGAGAGGGAATTGTGTTCTTGTTAAGTCAATGTTTTATAAACTAATTCTAACATATCATCATTGTGAATTATCTTCATGTGCGTAATATATTTGTATTCTTTCGACTTGATTTTGAGGTTAGGTCACATGACTTAGCCACGCCCTCTACGCATGCGCACTCCATTCAAACGCCCTCTTGATCACATTTTTTAATAAGTCAAAATAAATATACATTTGATAGCACCATAATTTAGATCAAAATGCCTAACAAAGTTGTGCATACAATAACAAATTTCTAAAAAAATAGCGCCTATGAACCTAAACCGTAACGAAGTGGTAACATGCGTGTAATCGATACTACAGAGAGTCGGGGAATTTCAGTTTGTGCCGTTGAGACACTTGTTTAAAAAATTGCATACACTGTTTACGTAGCTCTCTTTGTGTTCCGTGTAGTGTTTGACGTGTGGACTGCCCTCATAGCAAAGACTCGTGACGTCGACACCCAGCGATCTTCGATAGTCGGCGAAATATTCGATATCCTTCAAAAAAACAAATTAAATGAGCCACGACACACGTCAATACTTATGGTGAACGGAATCAGGACATCCTTCTTGGAATAGATGAAGTGCTGCGGCCACGTGTTTTTCTCGTCCTTTAAGTTCTCTAAAGGGTTGGACTGGAATGTCGTCTTGGGGTTGATATAGTTGCTAATTACCTACGGGCGAAAATTGCGTGAAAGCGGATTGGTTTATGGGGTTTACCTCGTAAAGCCATATCATGGACAGGAACATGGTCATGAGGACCGACATGGGGATGTTGTAGAGAGGTTTTCCACCGAGGATGGCCGAAATGGCACGAAATAGGCTCACGATGCGCCTCTTGCCGGGAGCGGAGTCGAAAATCACCCCTTTTATCTAAAACAATTCAGTAGAACAAGAAATTAACTAAAAAAAACGGGGGATTTGTGTGTTTTCACTTACTTGTATAGGTTTTGGGCTTTTCTCAAGTGCCAGAGAAAAATTCTGGTACAGGAAAGCGCCGCCGTTGGAGAAGCAGTGGATTATGATGGGGTGATTTTCGAAATTGAGGTCCACCAGCAATTTTACCAGACGCTCCCCTATTGTGATCATCTGGAGGCGTTTCCAGAAGAGACATTTCACGGGGGCTGTGTATCTCAAGGTAATCAGTCTAAAAAGAATAATTTACATAGTGCGTGTTTTCGCCGCTCTTAGAATATACGGAAAAGTAGGTCCCCTTTTTCTGTCAGTGTGTCTATATTGTGAAATTTTCAACGTATTTTAAAATTATCGTTCACGAAAGGTGGTCAACTCGCCCTACTAAAGCTGTGACGTCATCGCAAAATTTTGCTGAGTTATAACAAAAATTGGTCGAAGGTTATTTCAACAGAACTTCATTCGCTTCTGAAACGTAGCCTAACAGATACCCAAATGCTTGTCGAAATATCGAAAAATTGAAATATCGGAATATGGAGAAATCGAAAAACTGAGTAATTGAAAAATCAAACAATTTAAAAGTCGAAAAATTGAAAAATACAGATATTGAGAAGTCGAAAAATTAAAACACAAAATCGAGAAATTAAAAAATTCCAAAAACAGAAATGACGAAAAATTGGAAAATCAAAAAATTTAAAAATTGAAACTTCGAGAAATCGAAAATCATAAGATCGAGAGAAGAGAGAAGAGAAGGCGAAAAACCGTAAAATTGAGAAGTCGAAGACAAAATCGAAAAAATAAAAAATCAACAGAACTTTCTTCGTCCCTAAAACGCAGCCTAATAGATAACCAAATGCTTTTCGAAAAATCGAAAAAATAAAAAATCGACATCGGAAAATTGAAAGTTGCAACAAAAATTGAAGAATCTAAACTGGAACATGGAAATTCGAAAAATCGAATATTTAAAAAATCAAAAACCTGAAAAAATGAAAGATCGAAACACTGAAAAGTCGAAAAATTTTAAAAATTGAAAAACTCAGAAATCGAAACATCAAAAATGGAACAAAAAATGTAGATTTAAAAAAATTGAAAAATAAAAATGTCGAAGAACTAAAAAATCGAAACATCAGAAAATTGGAAAATCGAAAATATAAAAATTCCAAAGAACTAAAATAGAAATATTGATGAATTGAATCGGAAAATTGAAGAATCGGAAAATTGAAAAATCCCAAAACTGAAATATCGAAAAATTGATAAACCGAAAAATCGGAACTGAAAAGTCGAGAAATCGAAAAATCAAAAACTTGAAAAATGGAAAAATTGAAGAACTGAAAAATCGAAAGACTGAAAAGTCGAAAAATTGAATATTTAAAAAATCAAAAACCTAAAAAATCCAAAAATTGAAACACTGAAAAGTCGAGAAATCCAGAAATACGAAAGTCGAAAAAATTTTTAAATTGAAAAGCTGAGAAATCGAAACATCGAAAAATTGAACAAGCAAAACATGTAAAATTAAAAAAAAAGAAAGTTAGAAATATGGAAGAACTAAAAAATCCAGAAATCGGAAATCCACAATTTCAAAAATCGGAAAATTGAAGAATCGAGAAATTCAAAAATCGAAACATCGGAAAATTGGAAAATCGAAGAGTCGGAAAAGTGACAAATCGAAAAATCAGAACATGGAAAAATTCAAAAACTGAAACATCGAAACATCAAAAGATCGATGAATTGAAAAATTTAAAGATAAAAAAATTAGAAAATCGGAAAATTGAAGAATTAGAATATTGAAAAATCCCGTAACTGAAATATCGAAAAATTGATACACAGAAAACTCGGAACTGAAAAGTCGAGAAATCGAGAAATAGGAAAGTAAAAAAATTGAAAAGTTAGAAACGTCAAAAATTGAAAAAGCGAGAAATCAAAAATCCAAAATTTAAAAAATTGAAAAATCGAAAAACTAAAACATCGAGAAATTGGAAAATTACAAAATTGAAATGACCAAAAATTGGGAATTCGAAAAATGGGAACATGGGAACGCCGAAAATCGAAAAACCAAGAAATTGAAACATCATAAGTTCGAGAAGTTGGAAAACCGAAAAATTGAGAAATCGAAAAGTTAAAAACTGTAAAATCTAAAATTAAAAAAATTGAATGAATTGATCAAAAATCTATTAATCGAGAAATCGAAAAATTGAAGAATCGAAAAACTGAAAATTCCCAAAACTAAAACATCGAAAATTCGAATATTTAAAAAATCAAAACCTTGAAAAATTGAAAAACTGAAAAATTGAAACACTAAAAAGTCGGGAAATCCAGAAATACGAAAATAAAAAAATCGATGAATCGAGAAATCGAAGAATTGAAAAACCGAGAAGTCCAAAGGTTTTAAAAATTGAAAATCTGAGAAATAGAAATATCTAAGATCTAAAAAATCGAGAAATTGAAAAATCAAAGCATCGGAAAATTGGAAAATTTATAAGTCGAAAAAGCGAGAAATCGAAAAATCGGAACATCGAAAAATTCAAAAACTGAAACATCGAAACATCAAAAGATCGAGAAACCAAGAAGTTCCAAAAATTGAAAAATTGCCAAATTGAAATAAGCCAAAATCGAAAAATTAGAAAATAAAAAAAAAAACGAGAAATTGAACGATTAAAAAATCAAAAGATCGAGATCCCGATTAATCGAAAAACTGAAAAACCGTAAAATATAAATATTGATGAACTAAAAAATTGAAAAATTTAGAGAATAAAAAATTAGAAAATCGAAAAAATAAAAATCGTCAAATCGAAATATTGAATCCCAAAACTGAAATATCGAAAAATTGTAAAATCGAAACACTGAAAATTTAGAAATGTCAAAAATTGAAAATTAGAAAAATAAAATCGAGAAATCAAAAATCCAAAATTTAAAAAATCGAAAAATTGAACAATCAAAACATGGAAAAATTTGAAAATCGAAATGCCCAAATGCCGAAAATTCGAAAAACCGAGAAGTCGAAAAATCGGAATTCGAAATATTCAAAAACTGAGACATCGAGAAATTGAAACATAAAAAGATCGAGAAACTGAAAAGTCGAAAAGCCGAAAAATTTTAAATAAAAAAAAATTAAATCGAAAAACTAAAAAACCTGAAACCGAGAAGTCGAAAAATCGAAATAGAAATCGAAACATCAAAAAAAAAAACAAAAAATCGAAAATAAACAAAAAATTGAAAAATTTAAAATCGAAAGATCAAAAAATTAGAAAATTGAAAAAGTAAAAATCGTCAAATCGAAAAATTCAAGAATCGAAATATTGAACTATCCCAAAACTGAAATATCGAAAAATTGAAAAATCGAAAATTCGAAAAATGTGAAAATCATAAAACTGCAGATTTAGAAACGTCAAAAATTGAAAAATCGGATAATAGAAAAATTGAGAAATCAAAAATCCAAAATTTAAAATAGTAGAAAAATAGAAAAATCTGAAAATTGAAGAAATGAAAAACTAAAACCTCGAGAAAGTGAAAAATTCCTAAACGGAAATGACGAAAAATTGTGAAATCGAAAAATTGAAAAATCAAAACATCGCAAAATTTGAAAATCGAAAAGCCCAAAAGTCGAAAAATCCAGAAGTCGAGAAATAGGAAGAACGGACAATTTAAAAACTGAGACATCGAGAAATTGAAAAGAGAAAATTCGAAACGTCGAGAAGTCGAAAAATTAAAAAATTGAATAAATTGAAAAAAATTAAAAATCCACATCGAAAAGTCGAAAAATTGAACAAACGAAAAATGTAAAATTTTTGAAAAATAGGAATATGGAAGAACTAAACAATCGAGAAATTCAAAAATCGAAACATAGAAATATTGGAAAACTGAAAGAAGATCGAGAAATTGAGAAGTTTCAAAAATCGAAAAATCGAGAACCTGAAAAATCTAAAACCAAGTCGACAACCCTTAAAATAGAAATATCGATGATTGAAAAATTTTATATTTAAAGATTTAAAAAATTAGAAAATCGTCAAATCGAAAAATTAAAAAACTGAGAAATCAAAAACCTAAATTTAAAATATCGGAAAATTGAAGAAGCGAAAAACTAAAACATCGAGGAATTCAAAATTTCCAAAACTGAAATGACCAAAAATTGGGAAATCGAAAAATTAAGGTGTGAAACATCTTAAAATTTGAAAATCGAAATCGGCCAAAATCAAAAAGTTAGAAACTGAAAAATTTTAAATCTAAAAAGAATGAATGAAACCGAGAAGTCGAAAAATCAAGAAATAGAAGTATTGAAAAATCCCATAGCTGAAATATCGAAAAATTTAAAAGTGAAAGAAAAACTAAAAAAAACGCAAAATGGATAATGGAAACATCGACAAATTGAGAAATCCTAAAATCGAAACCTTAAAAAGTCGAAAATCCAAGAAATGAGAAACTAAAAAAATCAGTTAATCGAGAAGTATCGAAGAACTAAAAGATCGGGAAATGAAAACGTTGGAAAAGCGACAAATCAAAAAATCGGAACATCGAAAAATGAAAAACTGAAACATCGAAGCATTAACATCGAGAAATCCAGGAGTTCCAAAAATTGAGAAATTAAAAAAAAATAGAAAAACTGAAAAATCTAAAGCCGAGAAGACGAAAAATCGAAACACCAAAAAACCGAAAAGTCGAAAATGTAAAAATTCGAAACAACCGTAAAATAGAAATATGATTTGCAAAATTGAAAAATTTAAAGATTAAAAAATTAGAAAATCGAAAAAGTAAAAATCGGAAAACTGAAGAATCGGAATATTGAAAAATCCCAAAACTGAAATTTCCAAAAATTGATAAACCGAAAAATCGGAACTGAAGTCGAGATATCGAGAGATGTGAAAATAAAAAATTGAAACCTTAGAATCGTCAAGAATTGAAAAATCGAGAAATCAAAAATCCAAAGCTTAAAAATAGAAAAATCGGAAAATTTAAAAATCGAGAAATCGAAACATCAAAAGTTCGAGAAGTTGGAAAACCGAAAAATTGATAAATCGAAACAAGCCAAATTGTAACATCTAAAATAAAAAAAATTGAATGAATTGATCAAATCGAAAGAATAAAAAATCGACTTCGAAAAATTGAAAAATGCAACAAAAAATGAAGAATCGAAACGTGGAAAATTCGAAAAATGGAATATTTAAAAAATCAAAAACCTGAAAAATTGAAACACTGAAAGGTCGAGAAATCGAAAAATTGAAAAACCGAAAAGTCGAAAAATTTTTTACATTGAAAAGCTGAGAAATCGAAACATCGAAAAATTGAACAAATAAAAAATGTAAAATTTTAAGAACTGAGAAATAGAAACATCGAAGGACTCTTAAAAATCGAGAAATTCAAAAATTCAAACATCGGAAAATTGGGAAATCGAAAAGTCGGAAAAGTGGGAAATCGAAAAATCGGAACATCGAAAAATTCAAAAACTGAAACATCAAAAGATCGAGAAATTGAGAAATTAAAAAAAAAATCGAAAAATTGAAAACTCTAAAACTGAGAAGACGAAAAATCGAAACACCAAAAAACCGAAAAGTCGAAAATGTAAAAATTCGAAACAACCGTAAAATAGAA